TTAGGGTTTGGGGTTTAGGGAGTTAACTGAGTTAACTTAGCTACCAGGGAGCCTTCCATGTTTTTTGAGCCGGGGGGCTCGGCCGATCCATTCTGCAGCTCTGGCTGTGACTCTTGGTCTAGGACATTTTCAGGTNNTAGTTACCTTTATAGGAGCCTTATAGAAGGTCTATATACCTTAAAGAAGCCTTATAGAAGCCCTATATACCCTAAACTCCCCACCTGTAGTTTCCTTCAACTTGGAGCCTTTCATAGCCTATACTTTTCTGTACTATCCCATCTGGTTCCGTGCTTGGCTATTCTATACTGTACTATACTATACCGTACCACGCCACACTGTACCATATCATACCATACTATAAACAGTACACATCAATACCATAATGCAATATGCGATCTACGTAATGACGTGTAAATAATACACCCTGAGGCGGATGGTAGTTGTCCTCTGACTACCATGACCACCACCGACACCAGCACTAGAATCATCATCATCACCATCGCTCTCTTCATCCGAAGCTTGATATTCATAACGAGACGGCTTTTTTTCTATGTGGTGTGCATCTTCATCGTTGGCTTTGGGTTGAAACTGGGTGTGCTTGTGCAGGTGCCAGCACGACTTCCGAGCAACATCAGAAGGTGCGACCGCCGAAGTGAGAGTCTTGCTTTGTTGCTGCTTTCCCCCGTGACTCGACATTGCATGCTCCAGCCAACTTAGTTCGATTAGTCCCTTCTCTGCTGTCTTCTCTTTGGGCTAGGAGGCTTGCGCCCATGCCTACCTCTCAATTACTTACCCTTACTTACTCTTACTCTGCATCAGCCGACTTCCATGGTCCAGAAGTCCTTGGCGGCCATGTTCACGACCTCTAGCGGAAGAGGAGCATCCAAGCACCGATGAGCTTCAACCCGTCTGCCCGAAACTCGACAAAGCCCTAGAACCTACACCGTAAACTGAAAAACTATACCTCCTTGCATCCTCAGCTTGAACGCTCCGATACGCGCCGTATCATGGCCTGCATCCTACTGCATCCCAAAAGGCCAGTAGATCAGTAGGCCCCCCCCCTCCCTGAGCGAAGGAAGACCGAGACCCTGCGCCCCAAAGGTTCTGGAGATGCAGCAGAAACTTTGCCCGAGCATTTTTGAAGATCACGCAGCCGGGTGCTGCATCTCTGCTTGACAGAGTGACGGCTTTTTGCTGAGAGGCTTTCACATTTGGACCTTTGGAGTCTGCAGGTCTCCAGGATTTAGGGCTTCAGGGCTTAGATGATCAATCCGAGCTTGGGTTCAGGGGGCATAGGCTCACAATTTCAGGGCGATGTGGGGGTTGGGATTTCAAGCTCGGTGGAGGCTCCCTTTTGCTTCTGGGTTCCGCAGAGTGGAGTAGGGGCGAGTCTCCTGCATGAGTTAATTGCGGGCATGAATTTGGGTAGAACGTATGCAAACTACGCTATAGTATAGTTCAACATCACTCAGCTCAGCATCCAGGCTCCTCGATTAGCAGTCCTGGTGTGAAAACCGTGGGTTAAACGCGGGTTAGCTGCAAGGCAAGCCGTGCACCTTCTTCTGGAAGCCAGAAGGATGTGACTCTGACGCACGTGGGTTGCGGAGTGGGGTCGAGCTTTTGCGGTGCCATGAGTTCGGCCGCCTAGCGTCCATGCTTGACAAGCCTAGGGATCAGGATTTGGGACGCTGCTATTGCTAATGCTGCTGCTACTGGTTCGCTATACCACCACCACTGCTACTTCCATGGCCAGCCATCTCACAACTACCTCTGTGAGGACGATGCCGGAGCGGTGTCCACGACCCTCTTCTCACTCCACCCGCAAACTCTTCCAAGCCCACCCCAAGCCCTAAACCATCAACCTTCCTGCCGTGACCCTGCTTGCGCTAATCCTGAGAGCCTAAACCCCAAACCCTGAAACCTTTGTCCCCAAAACCCGTCAAGCCTACACCACCTGCACCCTGCAACCTACCCCGCCTACACTTTACACCCAAACCGTTCAGTTCCAAACCTTTAAGTTCCAAGCCCCAAAATACCCTGTGCATACCCTGAACCCTAAGCCCTTAAACCCCAAGCCCTGAATTGTTAAAACCCCAAGCTCTAAACCCTAAGCCCTTAAGCCCCAAGCTCTAAGCCCTAAGCCCTTAAGCCCCATGCCCTAAAGCCTAAACCCTCAAACCCTAAACCCGAAACCCTGAACCCTCAAACCCCTAAACCATCCTAAACCCTAAACCCTCAACACCAACCGCAATGAGCCCTCATTGCTCCCTTGCAGGTCGAAAGTCCGAGGCCGGCTCTCTTCGGGCACCGGGGGAGGGGTCGACATCCCTTTGGTTCCCCGCTTTCTTAGGCCGTGCTGAGCAGCTTTTTGTAAGGGCTTTGTGCGTTCCGACTTCTTAGAAGTGAACCGCTTCAAAAGGGATTTTCGGATTTCCGTGGGCTTCTGCCCGTTTCTTTTTGGAGAGGGAGGCGGGGGGACAGGCGACCCCTAAACCCTAAACCCCTAAACCCTAAACCCTGAACCCGTAAACCCTAAACAGGGAAGGGAGGGGGAAGAAGTGGAGGAGCTACCCACCTTACCTGGTGTGCGTGCGCATCTACGAAGGTGTAGGGTTTTAG